GATTTATGGATGGTTGAGAAGAATCTCCTGCCAGATCGGATACACCCTGGCTCTCTTCTAGTGGGAATGGGGATGTTTTTTATGAGTGTTTAGCAATGCAATGGCTCAAACATGGGAGTGGTAGGGTTGCTGGGGTCAGGAGGGCTGCAGAGGTCTGTTAGGAGCACAGCCAGTTGTGTGAAACTCCTCACTCCCCACTCTCTGGCCTGTCAGGACATACGCACACTCCCTCCCGGGCCAAGGAAAACTTGGCCCCAGCAGAGCAGAGCCGGTGGCTGGCGAGGAGGGGTGGCCACAGCCTGAGCCCAGCCTGGCCTGGAGGTGAGCAGTTTCCCATTTAGTGCAGCCTGGCAGCCTCAGGAATGCCTGTTCCCTGCAGATTTGCTGCCCAACATGTCATCCTGCTTGGAAATCTCAGCACAGCGGGTAAGGAGGAACTGGGTAAAGAAAATGAGCCATGCCTTCAGAGGGTTATCTTAATCAACAGGAGGATTTCAGCCACCTTCAGTCCTGTTGAAGCTAATGACATTTCTTCTGTAGGTGAAATCCATAGATGTCCTGCTTGGGAAGTGATTTGGTGAAGAAGGAAAGAGAACCCAGGACCCCTGCTGCCAGTCTTCTTTCCAAGCTGTTACACAATACTATTCTGGGGTTAACAAACCAAAAACATCTGGGAATAATCAAAGCTATTTAGGCTCTGAGAAAGCATGGCTGGAGAAAGTTTGAAGGAAGCAACTTGAAAGCTCAGCACTGTTAAAAACAATCTGGAAGCCCTGAAAATTAAAACTAGGGTAACATCTACAAAGAGTGAGGAAGTATCAAAAGAAGGATCTAATATTCTCTGAGGAGCAGAAAGGAACCGGAATGAATTGCAATGCTTGAGCTTTTTAAGCTACAGGGCATTAAAAAATTGCTTCAGAACAAACAAATCTGCCTTTCCTGTGGTTTCCACTGGCATGAGAGCAGAGGGAAAGACCAAGGGTCTGGCTTAAAAGCAGCTTGGGGGTTGGAAGTGTGATTTAAAGACAGATAACTGCAATCTCCAAAAGCCTGGTGATGGTGGTGCAGAGCCCACAGCAAGCAGTACCTGGCCAGGGCCGGGTCAGGGGGGACTCAGGGCACACAGCAGAGATTTGGGGCCCCATGGCATCCCTGGCAGGGGGGCACCAGCCAGAGTACAGCTGGCTAAAGGAGGAATGCAACCTGCAGGCTTTGCTTTGCCAGGGGCAGGATGTGTGCTCGGCTGACTGATGGCATTGCCAGCACAGCTCATGGTTCCTGGGGCATGTCCCTCATGGAGGGTGGCAGGGCTGTGTTTGTGTCTCTCACTGCAGGGGACATGCTCAGCTCTGTTCTGGCATGGAGCTCAAACAATCCTGGGATCATCCTGGTGGATAACCCGGGGCTGGCAGCTGGCACAGTGTCCATGGGGTGTCCTGCTCTGTGTGCTTGCTGAGCTACCTGCAGCCCTGACCCTGCTCCTTCTGCAGGAGCCTGGAGGCTGCTTCCCTGCAGTGACTCAGGGAGCCAGCCCTCTTTGATGGAAATCCCCTCTTTCAGCATCACAGGAACCAGTCTGTCCCTGGGAAATCTCACTGCTGCTGGTTTATAGAAGCTTTCATCTTGGAAGGCCTCTCTCAGTGCTTTGCATTCCCTCTCATCTCACTTTACATCTCCTGCTATTCCTGCCTCTGGCTGGGTATGGGGTACAAGCCCCCAATATCTCCAAGAGATGGAAAAGTATCTTGGGTGTAGGGAGGATGAACACACTGCAGGAAGGACAATGGCACAGCCAGCCACCACAGGAGCTGTAGAAATTGCTAAAGATTTGGGGAATCCAGATTTACTGCATCTTCTGTGGCAATCTGGCCTCCCCAGCATCCTTGTAAATGAGAAACCACATAAGCCTCACACTCTATTATTGCTTTAGAGCATTAGAATCCCTCATTTAGGATAAACATTCTCATCTCCAGCAGAGCATGAATAACATTAAATGAGATAGTTAAAATGTTTCAGGCCAATTATAGCCCTGGTGTAACTTCAGCAGAGTTACACCAGGGATTAATTTGATCCGGAGAGCTCTGCCTCCTGTTCCAAACTGGGATTCCAGCACGGGTAATTACATCCTGCCTCTCTGCACTTCCTCTGGAGTTTTAATTGGGTTGAATGGACTCAACTTCTGCTCTTTTCCTCAGAAAGCCATGAAATCTCTGAACTGCTCATGAGCTGAGGGAGCTGTGCTGCTTCTCTGCCGTGCAAGTGCGGGCTGGGTCCTCTGTGGGTGTGGGTGCACAGCAGCCTGCACCCCACTGTACCTTCTGCTGGTAAACCCAGCACTCCAATCCTGTGTTGGGGGTCCAGCCCACCCATCCCAGCCTGGATCCCAGAGCAGGACCCCTGTGCACTGAGACAGGCAGCTGGACTGTCTCCCCCTTCCATTCCCAGCCCTCTTAGTAAATCAGCCTTAATGAGGGACATTTGACCCTCTCTTTCCCTGAGCAGCCTCATGAAGCATTTTTGTTCCATGAGATAGTTAAGAAACTTGAACCAATTTCCTCTACTTGCTTCTACTGTCGTTTTTTGGTTGATTTTTTTTTCTTTTGAGAAAATGAAAAGTTACAGGCCACACACAGCCTTTAGGATGCCTCAGGAGTGGGAGCAGAGGAGAGACAGCAGGGTCTGACGTGGAGGGGATGGAGCAGACAGGGCAGCTGAGATGAGGTGAACCCAGTCCTGGTCCACTTGGTTTGTCAGAGAGACCACGTGTGTGACTGAGACAAGAGGGTCAGAGCTGGGAAAGTGCACATGCTGGCTGTGATTAGGAATTTAATTGGGAAGGAATTGAAATTCTGAGGCATTATCTCACTGAGTTGGAGCAATACAGAGCCATACATCCTCCATGGCCAGCTGAATACAGGGGCAACAGCAGAGAAAAGAGTGCTGGGAACAGTCTCCCTCACAGATTTCCAGGACTTTCTACTGCTGTGTGGTCCACTTCCCTTCTCAGAGAGAAATGGTGAAAACAGACAGTCTGATAAACCCTGGGGAGTGGGGCCCAGCAAGGCCCCACAGCGTCACCCCCTCCTCCAGGCTGTGTGGGACTGCTGGTCCCACAGCTGGGGTCATCCACTCAACGTTTCATTTCCCCTTTTAGTTTTTCCCAAATTGCATTTTAGTGGGAACAGAGAGGGAAAGAAGAAGGGCAGAGATGTCACAATCCTTCCTTCTTCCTCAAACAGCTTCTCCTCAGTGGGACCATGATGAGGGCACCGTGTCCATCAGCATTCCTCAGAAAAACACTGGTGACACCGTTCCTGACCTGTGAGGGCTGCCACCACCCCTTCTGTGTTTCTCATGAAGTGGAGGGCGGTTTTGGCCAGCAGAGAGGACACAATGAACGAATTAACCAAATTCCCACTCCCACCCACCAAAGGCCTTGTGGGACATCCCAAATCTCGGTGCAAACAGCAAACAGCTCGCCATGGCCAGCGAGCCTCGCGCTACAGGCGCTCACCAGCTCTGAGCTCAGCTGCTGGCTGTGCCTGCCCGAGTAAATAAAGAACATTTCTCATGAAATCCACCCTCTCAGAGGTCCCCAGGCAGAGGGCTGGCCTTCCCATGGCTCAGGAAACCTTTATCCCCCAAATCTACCACACTGCCCCACAGCTGATTTAGCAAGCGCTGGTTGCACACCCGGGTTTGCAGGGCAGTGACCCCGTCCCAGCAGCACCGTGACATTTGCAGGCACCATTTCCATCTGGCCCCATGTTGTCCTTTCTGGGAGTTTCTGAGTGCTAGTCCAGATGGGGAGAGAGGTCAGAGTTATTGATGGAAAGGTCCAGACTGAAATCTGGATTTTCACTAAGCCCAGAATAACTGTGCCTGGGCTAGCCCTGCAGATCAGGGCTCCATGGGCTCCCCTCAGTGAGGCTCTGCTCCAGTCTTTGGGGTCTCATAGCCCCAGCATGCACCTATCATTCTTGGGGCTCCTCTCCATTCTGTTTCTGACCTTGCACATTTTCCTTGTTGTTCATTTCTGCCCACCCAGGCTGAACAGCACCTCTGCAGCTAAGCCCTTGACCTTTATTCTCCCTTAAATCAATACATAAAAGCCATTCTACAGCAATACCAGCATATCAGGGGAACCCAGGTGATTCATATCACCAAAGAGCTGATTCTGCTTTTGAGGCTCAATCCTGGCAAGCTTTTGTCTTTTCAGATTCCAATCTTTTCTGTGCTGCTTTCAGCACATCATTGTATTCGTCCCCTGACCCCCCCTTCCTGGCATTATTGACTCTGTATCTTGCTTTTAATCTGCTATAAAATGAAGTTAACTCCAGGTAAAACCAGTTTTATTCCTCCAGATCATAATACTTATTTTGCCAAAAAGAAGAAAGAGAAATGTTTAACATGAGTTGAGGATGAAGAAGCTTAGTTTAAAATCTCACAGGGAAAAAAAATCTATTAGGAAAACTCTATAGTGTGAAATTCTCAGTATGGAGAACCAAGCTGCTGGGAGCTCTTGTCTGTGTGTCTGGCCTTACCTGTGAGGCAGGGAGGTGACCCTGCAGCTGCAGGATGGGGAGAGGCTGACATCAACCAGAACAATCTAGGCAGGAGACACATCCCAGGTTTCTTCCCCACCATCAGCCTCTCTCCTTCCCCCATTCCTGTGGCTGGCTCTCATAAGGAGCAAACAACCTGGTTCGGGTACAAACTGGGTGTATTTGGCACTGAAAATTCATGCCAGCCATGGCAAGGCCAGCACAACAGTGCCCATGGAAAATATTCAGCTTGTGAGTATTTCACTCACCAAAAAACCAAAGACCTTCTGTCTAATATTTATTTGCAGAAGCCTTGGGAGCTGCTTTTCCAGTTAGGTTGAAGCTGATGTTTGTGAGCCCACCACTCCCAATGACTGATCAGCACACCCTGATAGACTTTTCCCATCAGAGCATTTATTTTTACAGCAGGACACCGAGTCCTCAAACAAACGAAGGCTTGCACAAGAAATCGTCTGCCTCAGTTTGGCAGCAAACAGGAATATTTCTCTTTATTCTAAACCCAAATTTTTGTGGCTAAATAGAGCCAAAAATATAACTCGCCCTGCTACTTCTCCCAGACACAAGTCATCTCTGAATGCCAAAAGCGACTCTTCCCCTGCCACAAATGGACCAAATAAACCCAGCACGAGACTGGTGCTTAGGAGAAGCTGATGTGCCTCTAATGCTGTCATCTGCAGTGAGCTGTGTGCACACTGATCTTTTATTAATGGGTTTATATCCATGGGAAAGCTGCAGGGCACGTGAGAAGCCCATGGCTGGGAGCAGGGATCGCTCTGTGCCCACAGCTGGGGCTGCTGGCCCCAGCCAGGGCTCAGACAGGCAAATCTCCCTGCTGGCCCAGCATTAGCCCTGGCCCTCGCTGAGCTGTGGGAGGACAGCTGGGTGGTGTGGGTTTGTTGCTGTCACGGGTTGTTTGGTGAGGCTTTCAGCAGGTGCTGAGGCTGGGCTGTGCTCGGTGCCGGCTGCAGGGCGCAGGGGAGCTGCAGGATGAGAAGGCGTCGTGGTTAATTGGTGAATTGTAGATAATTCTTTGTTGAGAGCTGAGGTTGGAAGACTTGGGGGAGCTGCCTGCAGGGGATAGTGAGTCCCTGAGCTGCTCTGGGAATTCAGCAGTGCCCAAGGAGGGAATTAGGAAAGCCAGCTCTGGCCCCAGTTTCTCCCTATAACCCAATCCAGCGTCCCCTCTGCCTTGATGTGAAGATTCCCTGCCAGAGCCAAGGCAGTGGTGTGTGAGTGACCCAGCTTTTGCTGGGAGCTGCACATGGACACCCCAGAGCCAGCCCTCTGGGGTCACTGAGCAGGACACAAAGCCACATCAGTCCCAAATCCCACACAGAATCACAGTATGGCTGAGGTGGGAAGGGACCTTAAAGACCATCTTGTTCCAACCCTCCTCTTCAGGTTCCTCAAAGCCCCATCCAACCCATCCATCAACACTTGCAGGAGTGTGGCATCCACATCCTCTCTGGGCAACCTGCACCCACCCCTTGCACCCTACCCCAGCTGGATCACCCTGGCTCTGCTGCATTTTCTGTCCCTGTGAGATGCTCCTGGCATCCAGGCAGCCAGAGAGAAATGGCTGTGTGAGCCCTCACCTGGGAACTGAAATGCTATTGAAAGTAATGGGAAAATGGGGTTTTCCCTTCCAATTCAGCCATTCCAGGTTTAATTTCCTTTCTCCAGAGCAAGACACTTTTCTTGAGACTTCACAGCCTCACCAATAGGCAGGAAAAACAATAAATCCTGCTGAAACACAAAGAAAAAAAAATCACCATTAAAATACTTGAAGATTAGATCCAGGCTTTTTGCATGTCCTTCCCCCAATTTCCTCAGAGCTGCATCATCCCAGGTAAACGCTGCATCCCACCTGCCTTTGCTCCAGGCGCTGTTACGTGGCGTGAGGGTCAGAGCCAGCCTCTCTCCTGATCTCCTCCTCTCCCTCCGAGTGCCTGGGGACAGAGCAGATGGGGTGAGCTGTGGGCAGTGGTGCTGATTGAAGCCCCTCTCTAAAGGGAAGTGAGAACTTGCCCCAGTAAAGGGCATTTTTGCACTGAAGAGCAGAGTAACATCAAACCCTCCTTTTCCCCACGTCCCCCTGGCTCTGCAGAGCATCCTGCAGCAGGGATGAATCTCCCTTACAGGGGACCAAGCAGCTGAGCTCCAGCCCCACATGGAATTGCTGCAGCACAGTTTAGCCTGAAATATGCTGATTTTATCCAACAATTCTTTTCTTCTTCCTTTTTATTTCCCAGGAAATAAATAAATCATGCAAGTCTTCCATCACCCCCTCTCCACGCAGCTGTCCCCGTACCACGGCCCATGCTTCCCCTGGGCTTTGGAACTGGGTCAGTGAGCAACATCCAGCACTGCTTCTTCCCACTGCAATTCATAGAAAGCAGATATAGCCCCTGACTGCTTTGGAGCAACTTTGCCTTTTTAGCACAAATCTCATCCAGCCTGGGGTGGGCTGGAGGAGCAGGCCATGCCCAAGCACAGCTCTCAGAGGGACCAGGGTGGGACCAGCAGCACTTCCCTGCATCCCTCTGCCACGTTGGTGCTCATGGCTTTGCATGTTCGCTGCCTGGTGGGGAATGGATGTCTTTGAACTTCCATCCCCACCAAACTTGGCTGAAATAAGCCAGCAGGCTTGAAAGCCATCAGGGGAGCAGGCATGGACACACACACACATGCAGAGCAGAGGCACTTACTGCTGGGGAAACCAGGCAAAAGAGGGAGCAGCTTCATCCTCTGATTGTGCTCCTGCTGTCCTGACAGTTTATTCTCTGCCCTGTTATACCCCATGGTAAAAGGGAATTTGTTCTCAGTGGCTGGGGAGCAGATCTTGGGACAGAGCTTGTCTCATCACAGGGAACGTGGCTGAAACAAGTCCAGGGAGCTCCTTAAGCTCCCAAAGCAGCCCTGCAGAGACCAGAAAGGTGGGTAAAACCTATCCCTATCTCCAGATACTGTTGGCTTCTCCACCTGTGCTCCTTTGCAGTGCTAGAATCTGGGGTCACTTTCAGTAACTCACTCCAAAATCAGAAGGAAAAGCCAGAGACGCTCTCTGAGTCACTGGCATGTTGTTACCAAGGACACTAAGGTTCCTGATTTTGAAGAAGAGATTAATTACATTCTACAAATAGACATTTTATCTGCACTGAAGAGCAGCAAGAGCAAGTTCTTTTAGCGTGGCTCATTATGTATCAGCAGGTAGTATTGTGACAGATGTAGGAATGCAGTCGTATTGTCACTGGGGTTTAATCATCAGAGAGCTGTCTTCCCCAGGTCAGCTCCCTGTGAGGATTTGTAATATTTACATAGCACTTGGGGCTGGCTTCTTTATTGCTGGAGTCTGTATTCACTCGTCAGTCTCTCATTATGCATGTGCCAGTATTAATTGCATTTAGAAATGAGATTCTAAAGCAGAAGTGAGAGCTATTTAGACCTCCATTCAGCTTGAAAGACAGCAGCCTTCTGTGTGACAGCTCTCGAGATGTTCTTGTGCTCAGCTCTCTCCCCAGCTGAAAAGCAGGTGTTGGAGAGAGTTGGTGTCAGAGCCACTGTATCAGCACTGCCTTTTGTGCATGCCCAGACATTTATATAACCGACAGGATAATGACTCCGCAGAAGTGGCACAGAATTGACCCTTCTGGTACTGGATTGAAAGCAGCAAGGGAGAGAGAGGATCTGCTCAGCTGCTGTGCTGATATGGAGGGAAAGCAATGCTGAGCTCTATCTCCAGAGGAAAGCAGAGGGGTGTTCCCTTGCTGGTGGGTTTGGGGGTTATTTATCAGCTCTCCTGTGCCTGCAGCACTTTGGGGCTGTGTTTGTGGCCTTGCTAAGGTATTTAAAGTGTACAGAAATTTGGCTGGCACTTGGCTGTGCCTGCCTGCTGCGCTCTGATTGCTCCAGCCTGGAGAGGCAGAGCTGTGTGCCACCACTGCCAGCTGCCAGCCGTGCCTGGCCAGTGGAAATGAGGAGGTCATCTCCTGCTTCCCAGAGGGAAATGAGTTGGAAGGCTGATCTAGATGATGCCAGGCCACCAGCTCTGCTTTCCCCAGCCTGGAGTGCACTGTTCTTGTCTTGCAGCAGTGTGTGGGATACAACGAGGGTGTTCTGGGGCAGAGCAGCAAAGGCACTAAACAGTCCCTCTCTCCATGGCCCTGGCTCCCAGTCCTAGGAAAACAACCCTTCTGGGGCCCAGGGGATTCATGTCCAACCTTTTGGGAGGGGGCTCAAAAACAGCAGTAAGGCAAACCCACATTTCACTTCCCAAAACATCTCCTTTGCTTTGACATCATCCAGCACTGCCCCTCCAAACCTGAGACCTCTCCAAGAGCTCTCCATGGAGGACACCTCACAAACCTGGCTCTTTCCAGCTGGCACCTTTGTGTGACCTGTGCCCCTTTGGGTGCTCAGTCCCCTGCATCACCCCAGCTAGACCAGCACCAAGACCAAACCCCGTGTTCCAGCAGCATCTCCTGCTCCCCAAAGCCAGGAGCAGGCCATGAGCAGCTCCTGCCAGGAAGAGGCTGGAGGGGAAGAACATGAGAAAGGCAAACAGAGCAGACATCCATAGCCAGCTCTGGCCCCCAGCCAGAATCTTCTCCTTAAATATCACACAAAACAAAGAATAAATCACTGCTTGTGAGGAAATCCAAGCACAAGGAGTTCCTCTTGACCTTCCTGTCTCTTGACAGCAGGTTAGTCCAGGATAGTGTTCCAGTTTGTTTTTCAGCTGCAGCAAGGGGTGGGGAGAGCAGGCCCCAGAGCTGGGATGCTGGGAGGAATCCCTTCAAACCTCTCCTTTTGGGATGCTGGCAGCCAGCTCCAGTGGCCACCACTAATCCATGGCTGAGCACCCCAGCTCTGTGAGGGTGGGCCAAGGACAACCTGTGCCATTCCTGGCAGCCCCAAGGTATATAAATAGAAGACAGGGACGTGAAGGAGGTCAAGTGAGCAGGGGATTTCACATAATCTGATCTTGCCTGTGCTGTTCATTTGTGTCCTTTGCTCAGGGTGCCCGCCCTGCTTCGCACACGGGGACGTCAGAGGCAGAGGGTTGATCCTTCACCAAGCCAGGTTTATCCTGTGGAACGTGTGGGCTCCTGACTTCTTCTTCACATGTGCTGTTTCTCAGGGATGTCTTTAATCCAGCAGTCATGCAGAACAGTGCAAACATGGAAAATCCTGGTCTTTGTTGCTGTATGGGGTCCTGGTGTCCAAGCAGCCTAAGCTTGGTCATCTAGCTGGCCAAAATCCAGTTGGATCAACACAGTAGTGGGGCTCTGGTGCCTCAGGTCTGTTCCTGTCTTGAGGATGCTGCCTGCTCTTCATGAGGTCTCCACTGTGCCTTGGTTTCCTGCACCACTTCTCCCCAGGCCTTACCCAGCAGCACATTTTTCTCTTGCTCCTGCTGCTTTTCTTTTCCAGGACATGAAAGTCTGGAAACAGAATCTCTCTTGGTGTAAAGCTGTCAGTGGAACAGCTCTGATTTATGCCAACACCAAGCAAGCCGAGTAGATGAATGTCCAAAATAGATCAAGTAGAAAAGCTGTTAATAGCCACTGGTCTTTAATGGTGAGAGTAATTAATCACCAAAAGAACTAATCTAGGAGTTTACAGCTTTTCTGTGGGCTGCATCCAGACCAGGTGCCTGTCTGAAGACTGCAGCAGGGATTGGAGGAAGTTTTTCCTGGCCATCCAGCTCTGAGTCTTCCTCATGCTCCCAGGTCCATGCCATGATGGGATCCCTTGTGCTCATTCCAGGTTTTTGCTGCTGGTGCTGGCACCAGGCACATTCTCTCTCTGTGCTCTGCTGCTGCTGGGGCTGATGATGATGATGGTGGTGGTGGTGGTGATGAAGCCAGTTGGGTGAAAGGACTGACCAGGCTACAGGCCTGCACTTTCAATGTGGTGGAAGGAGTGCTGATCCTGCCTTGAGTGGAAGCAGCCAGGGCAGGACCATGCCTGTCCCGGCCCCGGCCTTTTCAGCTCCAGGCTCCCTCCCATCTCCTCATGCACAGATTTGTGTTTATTCACTGCTTGTTCCTTGAAGCTGACCCTGCACACAGCTCCCAGGGCAGGGCTTGTGCTGCAGCTGGATGTGCCTGTCCAGGGCTGGGGCTCTGGGCTGCCTGCACGCTGCCAGCTCTGTGCCATCATCCCAGCCATGGACCTGCCCATTCCTCCTGCAGCTTCCCCAGGGATGGACCTGCAGTCTGCCAGCCTTGCCAGCCATCCCTGCCCCCTCTGCCCAGAGACAGCCCCCACCTCTGCAGCTCATTTGCTCAGACATTTAATGAGTGTTTCACCCAGCCAGAGCTGCAGGTAGCACAGGGAAACCCGGGGGCACAGAGGCCAGGAGATGCCTTCCCTGCTTTGAGGTTTGTTTCTCCCTCCCCTGACTCAATCGGCTCATTAAGTGCCAATTTGACCTCCCCACTCTCAGATGTCTCCAGTCTGCGCCGGTAAATAGATTTGTGTGTCTCCAGCAGGAACCTCCCGAGCTGAGCCTGGCGTTGGAGCAGGCACAGGGGGATGCTCGGGCTGTCCCTGAGCACGGCCCTGCTGCCGCCGAGCCGAAGCCAAGCGAGTGCTGAGAGGAGCAGGACGGAGCCGGAGCTCCTCCGCAAAGGCTCGGGGAGCTGCAGGTAGCGGGAGCCGCAGCCGCCGGCACCGTGCCCGTGACGCACCGAGCAGGAGGTGACCCTGCCCTCCTGTCGCAGCTTTGTCACTGCCTCGCTGTGGGACTGCAGCAAGTCCCTTCCCATCTGCTCGCTGCCTTCGCCTCGGAGCCAGGAGCAGTGTGTGAGCGCAGCGCAACAGGGTGTGCGGTGCTGGCTGCTGGCTGTCCCCAGAGCCCACATGCAGCCGGTGCTCTCATGCATTCCACACAGCCAGACACTCATCCGAGCTCCCCGAACAGCAAGGGCGGAGTGGGACCTCCTCAGAGCTGTTTGACACCAGTTGAGTGCCAATGTCAGCCTGGTGATGTCCCCGCAGGTGAAGTCGCTGCTCACTCTCCTCCCAAGCTGAGGCATGAAGAGAGTCAGGCAGCCAGTCTGCAGGACTGCTCCTTTTGGGAAACACCTTGCTCAATGCTGTAAAAGCATCCCAGTGGTTTATCCCTGGCCCTTCACACCAGACAAACAGGAGGAGCAGTCCTGCATTTCCTCCTTACTGGCACTGGTGCATCAGAGAGGAGGTGACAGCACATCTCAGAAGGCTCCTCTCTACCCAGCTCAAGCAAATATCATCCAGAGAACCAAAACCAGCAGGAACCCAAATATCTCCATGAATCTCCATAGGTTGAGGAGTGAGATCCTCCCCCCCAGGCCCCCCTCACCGTCCCACCCCCAGAGCCCTGAGGGGACAGGAGGGGGACAGGAGGGGGACAGGAGGGGGACAGCAGAACACGTACGGTTCGACTTTGTTGCAGAAGCGGCGCCGCAGCATGAGGACCAGTGGACCCAGGATCAGGATGGTGGTGCACATGGCGCTTCCTCCATCACCACCACAGCCCTTCAATCCCTCTGGAGCACTGCTCAGCCCAGGGCTGTCACCCGTGCCTGGCTGGCCTGCCACCCCAGCCCATGGGCACCTCTCCCCAGCAGCCACCTGAAAGATCTCAGGGAGGGTTTTAGGAGGAATTAAGGCAGGATCAGATGTATTTAAGAGGCAGCAAATGAGGACGCTCTCCTCTGACCTCTGGATGGGAGGGAGCCCTGGAGCTGGTCTGTGACCCCTTGAGCATTTAATTGGTTTTGGAGTGTGGTGCTCCTGTCCTGGTTGGCCCCAGCTCTGCACCTTGGCCAGGTGGGTGCTGGGGGTGACGTGTCCAGGACCAGGCCAGTTCCCACCTCATCCACCCCGTGGCACCCCCAGTCTGTCCTCCTGCCCCCAGCAGCCCCACAGCACCAGGGCTGGGTACTCCCCTCTTCTCCCCCCTTTCCCATGTGCCTCCCTCCCCTCTGTGCCCTGTAGGAGTGACAGTGGGTAGCACGGTCAGGATGGATGGAGATGAGAGATCTCTGCAGCCAGGGCTGGAACCTGGGGTTCATTGCAAAGGGCCTGGGTGCAGGGCCCTGCTGGGAGCTGCCAGCCACAGCTCAGAGCAGGCCTCTAAGAGAGAGAGGGAGCAAAGAATAAAAGCAAGAGGGAAAGAGAGCGAGATTCCCATTACAATACAATAAATCTTCTTCTGTGCTGAATATTCTAATTCTCACTAACCAATCTAGTACAAGATACAAATCCTATAGCATTTACATACAGCCTATAAGAATCACTACATTACAATACTGTGTCACATTTTTAACCCTAAAAACTCCTCTTTGGGCCCCTTCTGCCAAGCTGTAGGGTCTGCTCTGACCCTTGGGCCTGTCTGCAAGCAGAGGGTGTTGTTCCATCAAAAGGGGATCACCTTCAGCACAGCCACACCATTGTTTTCCAGTTGTTCAGTAACTGAGGTATCTCAAAGCTTGCTTTCATTTCAATCTTGCTTATAAAATCTTTTGCCAGGCAATCATATTTATAAGGTTTTCCTGTTTCATCTTCCCATCTGTGCCCACCTTGCCCTGCTCCTCTCTTTCCCTCCAGCTCCTCCATCCCTCCTCCTGCCAGACCTGCCTCAACCCGTCCCCCCCTCCCGGCTCCAGTAATCTGACAGGCTCAGACCTGCTGTAATTCCCTGTGGACTCGTCTCAGCCAGCTGATCCCAAGACCTTGTCTGCATCCTTCCCTCACCCAGACTGGGTTTGCCTCCTCCTCCCTGCTCTCCCATAGCTCAGCAGCACACTCACGTCTCTTCACAGAGCTGCCCTGGCCCTGTGCTCTCCCCAAGATCTCCTTGCCCATCCCATTCTCCTGCCAGGGAAGCCTTTCCCTACACTCTAAGCTCCATGGGCAGTGAATTTTCTTCAAACATCTTGTCCCAGCTCAGCCCTTTGCAAAGCATGTTCTGGACTTTGTGGGTTTAGGTTAAAGAGAACTGGCAAGCCCCTCTGCAGGAGGGGCAGGGGGAAGACAGCTGTGTGTGCCATACAGATCTGTGGGCACACACCTGGGGCTTGGTGGTGGTGATGGTGCTGACCTGGAAAAGAGCCCCAGAGCAGGCAGGGAGATGCAGACAGCTGTGGCTGTGGGGTTTTGCTCCCAGCTGGGGTTTTACCATGAGGGAGGGTCCTGCAGTGAACACTCTCTGCCCCCACCCCCAGCACTGGCTGTCCCACATGGACACCATGGCATGGGCTCTGATCCACGGAGTCCAACACTGGTGCTCATCAATGTTGGGATGTGTCTCCCTTTGGGGCTGTGCACACAACCCTGAGGGTTCTCCCCATGCCCAGTTGCATTTTGGCCCCAGGGCCAAATGTCCATCCAGGGACATTTTGGGACATGCCAATCCATCCCAATGATTTGGGGCATGTCCATCCATCCCAATGACAGGGGCAGACATTGGTCTCAGCAGGGCAGCTGAGAAAAGCCCCAGTCTGGGCATTCCCATAACTCAGGCAGAAAACAGCTTCCTCCTGCAAAAGGGTTTTGAAACCAGAACCAAATCCAAGCAACCTGGAAGGGTCTGGGTTCATTGAGTACTTGAGTCTCAAAGAAAGCAAAACTGAGCTTTCCAGGAAGCCTGGCTTTCCATCCCCATCCAGCCAGGGCCAAAGATGCCCCCTGAGCCCAGCCATGGCAGGGGCCTGGGACAGCTGTGGTTAATTCTCTCCTGGTGGACATGTCCTCTCAAAGTACTCCAGCCCTGAAAACAACAACTTCAAGCAGCTCTTGAAACGTCAGAAAAACCAAATTCCTCTAAGGCAATGCAGTAAACAGCCCCCATTCCTGAACCTGGGGTCGGCGGGAGCAAAGGGGATGGATCTGACCTCGTTACTGGCACCAGCAGGATGGGAAACCTTTGTGAGAGCCGTGGAAGAAACATCCCAAGTGTGTCCTGCAGCCAGATGGAGACAGGAGTGACTAATTCCTTCCTGAGTGTAAGTCAGGCGGCCGGAGGAGCGGAGCTGCCTTGCGCAAGGCACTGGGGGTGGCCGAGCCCCGAGTCCCTGCCAGCCACCCCCGAGCACGCTGAGCCCCCAGGAGCACGTCCTGCTGTGCTGGGAGCTCACTGGAGCCAAACAAACAGCGGCTGCTGGCTGAGCTGAGGCCCAGGAGGCTGAGGGACCTGCCTTTCCCTGGCAATCGGCAGCCGGGCTTTTGTAATCCCTGCGAGGACTCCATGCAGGAATCCATTGCTGCTTGTAAACTCTCCTCTGCAGGCTGACACCGGCAAAGTCCCCGTTCTTGCACCCCAGATGCTGCCTGAGACCCTGAGTTTTCTCCTTCAGGGATTTGTTTATAAGCACACAGCCCTCCCTAACCAAACAGGGCATCAGCACTGGGCTGCTCGAGCCCTGGGTGCCCAGCCTGGTGCAGGGGGCAATGCCTGAGTGCTGGCCCCTGCACCCACTTGGGTGACCTCTGCAATGCCAAACACATCTTCTAGAATCAATTAACTCTGGCACTGAGGTCATTGGGTGACCTTGGCAGCCAGCACTCGTCCCCTGTGTGGGATTGTATCACCTCCAAACACTCTTGATTGATGCTGAGAGGTGCTTGGTTCAAAGGCAAGGTAATGTGAGCAGATTAGTTAATGCTTCTTGGCCTGGCCCTTGAGAGCAGGGCTGGAATGACGGGGCAGACAATGGGTTTTGAAGGCTTTTCTTGTTAAGATATGAATCAATGGAGCTGTACGAGGAGCAGGGATGATGTGATCAGAATAAGAATCACGGCTTGTCTTTGAACCAGAGCGAAGTCCCTGATGGTGTTTACTTCATGTCCTGGCACCAAATGTGAGATGATATGAATATATTAGCTTATTGGCTCTCCTGAGCAACCCCTGCCATGCTCAGACCAGCTTCAGGAAGGAAAAGAGCAGCAAAGAGAGTCAGTTTGGAAATGCCAACTTGTTTGCCAATAACCCTGTCACTCTTGCTTACCCCTGAAGGCTCTGGCTGTGACAGGGGCTGTGCTCAGGGGGGAAGAGCAGGGCACTGGGGGTGACACCGGGGGCTGTTCAGGATCTGGGGAGATTTACCAGCTGGCTAATGCCATGTTCGTGAAGCCCTGTGGTGCTGGATCTGTCATCTGCTTCCTGAGTGTCTCTTGCTTCATCTCTCCCAGTTGCATCACAAGGTTTCAGCTTCTTCCAAATCCCAGTATGGAACTGGGAGTTTTTGCAACATTCTTAGTCCAGGAACAGGTTAATCTGGTTGGAAGTGGTTGGGTTGGAAGTGTTCTCCAGGGTTGTCTCACCCTGCCCTGCCCTGTCCTGACAGAACCCTGGGCAGCACCAGCCCCTCTCCCAGGGCTCCTTTCTTCCTACTGCCCTGGATTTCCTAAATCCTTGGGGGGTTTTAGGTTGTGTGGATTTTTGGGGCAGGAAACCAGAAAGGTGTCAAAAGGCTTAAGGTCATGGGGAGGCTGTGCTGTCCCCATCACACCCTGCCTGCTGCTGCCCAGGGTCTCCAGCCCATTGTCCCTTCCCAGGCATCAGCTCAGTGCTGCTGCTGTCCCAGTCCCCAGCACCCAACACCTTCCTGCTCCCACACATGGGCTGTGAACTGAGGCTGGAGTGGCCACAGGGTCCCTCTGGGAGCTTGGGGGTCCCCACTGGGAGGTTTGCTCTGGTGGCACCTCAGTCTGCACAAAGCCACATTTGCTGCACTGGGAGCCCAGAGCAGAGCAGCCCTGTTCCCAGGTAGGAAGGAAAATCTGGGCTGGTTTGGTTTAACCACATTCCCCACAGCTCCAGCAGCACCTCCTGCAGCCTGGATTCCATCAGTCAGGAATGTCTGCTCCTCACCACAGCCCAGGTGTCACAGAGCTGGGAGGGAACAGCAGCTCCCTCATTGTCACTCTGCTGGCACATCTCCTGCCAGCCAAGCTGCAGACATGGAACTGGGGAAATCCCAGTTTCTCAGTACTTCAGGTCTTTCTGAGTAAATTGGTGACCAAGCCTTCCAGCAATGGGGACAGCGACTGCATGATTAAACTGGGATCACCCCCACCTTGGGATGGAGATTCAGGCAGCAATCCAACCCCAGCTGGATCTGGGGGTGTCCTGCTGCCTGCAGCCCCTTTTGCCTCCATCCTGACCCTGCAGAGATGCTCAGGCCACAGGTACTGCCAGCACAGAGCTGGAGCATCAGGATTGCACACAGATCTCCTGGGATCAGAGAAGCTGGGGGAAGGAAACCTGCAATAAGCACAGAGCATTTGTACAGGCTTTAGGCTAAATCCTTCCCTCCCTGGGTAGCAGCACTGCAAAGCTCTTTCCTGGAGTCTTGTTATTCCTTTTCAGGCTGGGACACTGCAGCTTGCAGCAGGGCTGGATTAGAAAGGGGAGAGAGAGGCCTGGCCTGCTGAGCTGGGTGAGCTGGGCTGGCAACCAGCAAAGGTCAGGGTGACAATCCAGCATCTCCAGGTCAGCAGCCCAGAAAGGCTCTGGGAGGAGAATGAAGGAGGAGTTGGCGCCTTCAGCCTCATTGCACTCAGAATCCCAGGACTGCTCCTGTTCTGGCCACGTTGGTGTCTTGAGGGTCTGGAGAGGGATTCTCACTGCCGCCCTGAAATGCCACCAGCACCAAGGCCTTGGGGCAGCTCGAGCAGCTCCTTCCCAAAGCACTCCCTGCTGGATCTCATGGGGTGTCTCCTGGGACACCCCAAGTAATGGTGGCTGTCAGAAGGCCCCAGGGAGCTGACACTGCAAGGGGCACAAGAAAAGGCCTGGTATTCTCCAGGAAACAAATGACAAGGCTGTCCCCAAGCACCACGAAGGGTGGACTCAGGACCCAAAGGATTTGAGGTGTCTGCCTTCACCCCAGAGACAGTGGAGAAGTCAAAGGTGGGGATCTGCCATCATCCACATCCCACACGCTGTGGAGCTGAAGTCTTGGGATTTTTTGCCTTTACCTCCCACTCAAGGATTAGGAGCCAAGTACATTTCTCATTGCACCCAGCACATGAGAGGAGGAGAGGCAACGTAGGAGGGCAGGGGAGGAGTGGGAGAAGCCATCAGCAGGTGGGTACAGACCCCTCAGGAACATGGCATGCCACAAACAGAGGCTTGGAGGGCCTGGAAACCCATCCTCATCCTCTGCAGCTGCCATGGAGGATGGCTTGGACAAGGAATTGATCTCTTCCTGCTGTGCAGAAGCTCTGTGAGAAGCAGGCTCAGGCTCAGCAGGGACAGGGCACCACAGTGCCACCCCATCATGGGGACAGGACCACAGCAAGGAGATGGAAAGCAGGAGGGCTGTGATGCTCAGCTGGTGAGGGGAGATGAGGGTGTTGAATCACCTGAGAGAGATGGATTGATTTCCTCAGCATGGATCATGCAGGCTGACCCCACCTCAGTGTCTGCAGTGGCCATGGGGACAGAGCTCTCTGTGCCCCTCCCTGGAGCGCCCTGGCTCAGCTGAGCTCCCCTGGGGCCAGCAGGCTGCAGCGATGTCAGGGCAGCATCTCTCTCCTTGTGGAAGGAGTCGCCTCCTAACCCCAAGCCCTGGAGAGCAACAGTCATGGGAAACCATGGAAACCACGGCCGGCACGTGACAGCGTGTGCTGCACTCCTGCCCTTGATTTATGGCCCACCTCTGGGACCAGAGGCACAAATGCACGGCTCCTGGCATGGGTTGGGGTTTGGAGGCAGTGCAGAATCACCACTGCTTCACTCCCCACCTCCTTGGTGGAGCAGGAGGGCAGGGCTGGGCTCCAGCCAGGGCCAGACGTGGTGAGCGCAAGGAGGGAGGCAGAAACCTGGAAAAGGCTGGGGGATTTCTCACTTGCTTTTCTAACGCTTTCTAATATTTCTAAATTGAGACTTCTGAGCCCAGACATTTTGACTCCTGGTGCTAGGGAGTGAGGAAAAGCTCCTGCTGCACCCAGGCACCACGTGCCAGGCTCTGAGCACAGGGTGGACTAAGACACCAGGTACAAAAGCTCAAAGATTTCTTTTCTTTAAACACACCGCAAGTGATAACCAAAACTTGACCCAGATTATCTCCCCAGTGTTCACATTGGTCAGTATTTGATTTTTCCATTTTTTGAAAGAGAATTTTTTCCCCTTGCACTGCACTGCAATTTTGCTCAGGGTTTAAGCTGGGTCTCTCTGAGTTTAAGCCAGGTCTAAAGCAGCTCTTCCCCTACACCTCAAGGGAAGGTGATAAGCTCAGCCGTGCCATCCTATGTCCAGAGGGATTTCTCTGCTGCCTGGTGACCACCTGGTGACATTATTTGAGCTGGGGCTCGTGGTTGTTCATCCCAGTGGCTAATGGGCAAAAGGTAAATGCAAACGTGGTGAAAATCTGATGATTAAGCAGCTGCTGGTGGAGCTATCGAACAATTCCTGACCTCTGGCAGGGTTGGGTTGGTCACACTGCTGTGCTGTCACCCTGTCAGCACTCCCAGCTGAGCTTTGCTCTTGAACCAAGGGGTTCAAGGCTGTGTGGAGCTCCCAGTGTGTCCCAGGACGTGTTCCCTGGGGGACCCACAGTGTGGGATCTGTGGGCAGCACGTTCTCCACCAGCTCCCATCAGCTCTGCAAGAGCAAATCTGCTGACACCACCAGTCTGGCGGCTGCTAATGGGGACGTGGCCAAGGCTGGTTTGGAGGAGAAATACAGCAAAAGAGCCTCGACAGCTCTGCAATAACAAAGCTGCAGCTCCTCAAGGGGCTCAGCCACCCCCCAGGCTGCCAGAGCAGCACTCACAGCCTGTCTGTCCGTCTGTCTGCCCGTCTGTCCTGGCGGGGTGTGCAGGGCACACCCGCTCTCTGATCCCCCTGGAGCACCCGCGGTTATTACAAGTCCCTGGAGGATTCTCCGGCTCTCTGTGCTAATGGGCTGTGCTGTGGGTTTAACGTGCCGGATTGCCAGCGAGCTGGGAATGGCATCTGGGTAAAAAGCAGCCCCAAAATCACACCCACGGAGGCGGCGGGAAGCCTGGAGTGGAGGTGTTCCCTGCCGAGGCGCTGCCAGGAGCCACGCAATCCACAATAATGCCTTCATTTCACCAGTGCCTCAACTCTGCATCCCTTTCAGCTGGGTCGTGCCACGAGAAGGGAGAGCAAAATCTCAGCATTAAAAAAAGTCCCCGTGGGACACACCATGATCTCTTTTGGGGGGCAGAGAGATTCCCTCTCGACCCAAATCTCTTCTCAGCCCAAGAATTGGAGGTGAGGGGTCTGTCCTTCCAAACATCACCTCCTGCAAAATCAGACCCCTCAGCAAAGAGCAGAGCCGGGGCACAGCCAGCACTTGGGCTAACTTTAACTCAGCACTCTGGATTCTGAATTTCCTCTGAGCTGTTTACAAAGGGCTGGAAAAAAAACTTCCAGCACTACCTCCCCCCCGCCAGCCCCGTCCTGATATTGCCCAGAACATCTCTCTCATCCCTCCCTTTCAGGGAGGAAAAAAAAAAAAAAAAAAGGAAAGGAGGGAGGAGTGGGAGAGAGGAGGAGAGAGGGAGAAAGTGAGCTCACGTTCACACATTGGTGAAGAGGCTGGTCTTGCAATGCCTTTGAATATTTTACTTTTAGGCAGTTCCTCATCAGTCAGCCACACACATCCGAGGCGAGCTGAAGCTAACTACAGCCATGGACAGCACTAGGAGATCTCACATCTAATCGCACGCATCATTCCTCCGGGATATTCTTGAAATTCCACATCCAAACACGCTGACAGCAGCTGCACTCACACACACACACACTCACACACACACTCACACACTCACACACACATCCACACGTCGCAGAGCCGCCGAGCAAACACCTTGTCTCTCCTCTCGCAGGATATACCCGCTCACACACATCTCTCTTTATCTCCTCCTGGCTTCCCGGAGGATCCTGCCGGCTGTTTTTCATGGAGAAAGTCCAGGGAGAAATGGAGATTGAGAGATGGGAAAGAAGTGAAGAAATTTCAGACGCAGAAAAAAAGGTCATTCAAGAGATATGGAGCAGAGTATATGCAAACTGCGAGGACGTTGGGGTCTCCATACTCATCAGGTATTTAAAAAAACAAACCAAAAAAAAAAAAAAAGGAAGCAGCAAATCCAACTGAATCTCTATATAGCTCAGAAAGAGGCAGAACAATATATAGAACTGAGTGGAGATGAATGACAGCGAGTGGGGAGCTGGCTGGGTGTATCTGCTGCCTGGGAGCAGGGAGGGATTCGCAGCGCTCCTCGGATTCCCACACCTTTGAGCCGGGGGGAGCAGGGCAGCCTTGCCGGGGGCTTTGGGGGGATGCTCCGTGCTGAGGT